TTTTTTTTTTTTTTTTTGTACCAGGAATCAAACTCAGGACCTTGCGCTTGCCAGGCAGGCACAGTGCCACTAAGCTAAATCCCTGGCCCAGTGCTCTTGTCTTTAAGCCTGTCAGGAAGGCTAGAGACATAATACACTGAGGCTTGTGGCTCACTGCTTGAAAACTGGCATGACATTAGTGCAGGTGGGGCTCAAATCACAGATCACCAAGTTAGGAAAATGGTCATCTTTAAACTGCAGGGGACACTGTTACGGTTTGGATCTGAAATGTCCCCTAGAGGCCATCTGCTTAAAGGCCTGGCTGCCAGCTATGGCACTGCTCTGAAGCAGTGAGATCCTGGGGAGGCGGGGCTTTAGTGGAGAAACAGGTCCCTGGTGTGCTCTTTGTCCCCACCTGTCTGCCCTCATCTGCCTCCTGCCCACCCCCAGGTAAGCCAGTCTGCTTCCTATAATGTGTCCTCCACCATAATGTGCTGCCTCACCACAAGCCCAGAGCAATGGAGCCACACTACCATGGACTGAAACTTCTGAAACTGTGAACCAAAATAAACTTTCCTTCCTTTAAGTTGATTTGCTCTGGTATTTCATCACAGCAACAGAAAGCTAACACAGACAAATATATTGTAAATTAAGTATTCAGTGTACCAAACTTTTTTTTTTTTTTTTTGGTACTGGAGATCGAACTTGGGTTCTTGCGCTTGCAAGGAAGAACCACTGAGCCCTGACCCTCAAACACGTTATTTTAAATAGGTTAAAACCACTAAGTCAAGGGCAATTATATTTTGGATATTAAGTTTGCAGATACAGCACAACATAGATCAGAAACCAGAATGGAAATAGTCAAATACTGACCTAGTTTTCATGATGGGAGAAAACTACCAAGTGGCAAGATTTTGATCTAACTTTGGAAACAGAGTTAGCTCCTTAAAACATAAAACAGCTCCAACCTGGAGGTTTGGCGTTTCCAGAGTTTCTTTGCCTCAGTGACTGCATATAGACAACAGCAGTGGCTGCTGCCTCAGAGCCACCTCTACCCTGAAGGGTATGACTTGAGCCAAAATTCAGTTGTGTCCTACCTCCTATTGTACAGCAGGGCTGGTCCTCAGAAGTATCAGTGAGTAAAAGACAGAAATGAAGACAACTGAAGACAGGACTGGGGTAAATTATAAGTAAGATTAACTGGGGCTATCGTATTTTTCAGCAAATTTTGCAAAGCAAATTCCATTCTGTAGCAAAAATTGCAATGGAAAGTAGGGACTAAAAGAAAAGATCCCACTGGTATTGAAAAAAAATAAAAAAGATCCCAGAAAAATATTTACTACTAAGTATGTTCCTTTAAGTATTATTCAATGTATCAGGCACTGCCTTAGGGAAATAAAGGTAAGACAAAATGCCTCTTTATGGGTATCACGTTATGGTTGAAGAAAAACAGATATCAATTATGTGAAATAATACAGAAAGAACAATTTATAGGAATGCTAAGATGGGTGGGAGCATTACAGGGTACAAAGTGTAAGTGGAAAGATTCCACAGATGTGCTACCTGAACCACTTCTTTATGAATGAGGAAGAATTTCATGGGAAGGAAGGGAAGTAGGGTAAAAAAAAAAAATTAAAAAGAGTATGTGCTAAGGCTCAGTAGCAAGAAATAAAACTCAACAAGTATATGCTGCCACAGCATTAAGATCCTCATATAATGCTAAGAAGTTCAGACTTTACTCATAGCATTCAGGAAGCCAACAGAAGCTTCTAAGCTGGAGAGTAGTAGCAGCAGGGCTACCAAGTACTGAGCACTGATGTGCGTGGTGGGAAAGGACTATTGTGTGTCCAGGGAACAACAGGCAAGAGTCCGCCTGCAGCAGGCCAGGTGCAAGATGGCCAGACAAGACTCTGAGCAGTGCTCCTGCGGAGGAGAGCTGGAGAGACAGACTCCCAAGAGCTGGTGTCTAACTGCACACAGGGCAGGGCAGAGGCAGGAGGAACACAGCTCAGAATTTATCGTTAGGATGATTTGTCATGGGTCCTCATTAGCCACGGCAGGAAATAACATGGGTTGCTGAGATCTGAGAGAAGACTAAGGTTTTATTCAAACTCGGCAGAGAGAGGGACCTTTGAAAAATCGAATCTGACGTATACTATCAGCACTTCTGCTGCCCAGAAAAGAATCTGGGATTGCAGGTAATAATCATCTGTTGATGCCAGGGTCCCCCCAGGACACTGAGATGGCTCCTGGACAATCTGAAATCAGAGCAACCTCAGGACCAGGTGAGACTTCTCGGGGAACTTTGGTTTAGGAAAGAGAAGAGGTAAAGTATTGATGAGAACAGGAGGAGGGGAAGAAACAGTAAAAGGCACTGCAAAGAAAAAGCTGTAATAGACCCAGGAGTGGAGGGTATTGCAGAAAGCCAAAGAAGAACACTGACTTCTCAGTCATTTTCTTACCAAGCACTGGCGGACACTGGTTTCAGATTGTGTCTCCAATCTGAGTGACTCAACTTGTGTTCGTGAAGTACAGAAACAATCCTGGAATCACAAGTACATAAAATAAACAAAAGGTGTGGCACAGGGTAAACGGGTGGTCTAGAGATGGGTTAAGAACTGAGAAAAAGAGCAGTCTGGATTGGAAGCCAGGATTCATAGCATCAAATTGCTCAGTGAGGAAGGGAAGGGAGAAGTAGCTGGGTGTGCCAGAGGCGAGCACTGGTTAGAATTATGCTTGGGTCTACAGCCATACCACCCTGAACACGCCCAATCTCATCTGATCTTGGAAGCTAAGCAGGGTCGGGCCTGCTTAGTACTTGGATGGGAGAAGTGTGCTTGGTGTCACCAAGCCTTGTACCATTGTTTCTCACTCTTTTTTTTTTTCTTTTTTGAATCAGGGTCTCCCAGTGTAGTTCTGGCTGGCCTTGAACTCACTACTTAGCCAAAACTGGCCTTGAACTGTGAACTGTGGCAATCTTCTGCCTCAGCCTCCTAAAGTGCCAGGATCATAGGGGTGTGTCACCGAGTCTGGCTCAAATGAGCCTCTTAAAGTCCAACCCTAGCTACTTAACACTTTGTAGTTAGTTACTTAACAGTAATCAAATTTGCTATCTCTAAAAATACGTCAGAATTTCTTTTTCCTTCTTTCCTTTTTTTTGTGTGTGTTTGTAAGATGAGGTCTCTCTAAATTGCCCATGCTGTCCTTTAACTCAGCCTGCTGCCTCAGCCTTCTGAGTAAATGAGATTATGTGAGCACCCCTATGCTGGATCAGAATTTTTCAAAATTAAATTATAATTTTTCCAGGTAGCCTAATTTACTGATATCTTTTTTTTGGGTGGGGGGTACTGGGGATCAAACGCCAGTCCTTGTGTTTGCGAGGCAGGCAGCAGAACCACTGAGCTAAATCCCCAGCCCTAATTTACTTATATTTTAAGTTGAATTCAGTTCTCTGAATATCAGGATCCCCCATCTAGCAAACAGAAGAATTAAACTAATTGGTCTTTTGTATCTTCTCCAATTTACAGACTGATATGAAAGTGAAAATCTTAAGAAATCCTTTAGAGCAGGGTCACCAGTCATGGCCCACGAACCATCATAAAGTTCAACTGGAACTCTCACCCTTCTGTACTGGTTTACGTAGCCTATAGCTACTTTCATGCTAAACAGCAGAAGGAGAGTTGAAGAGAAATCATGCGATATGCAAACAACTGGTGGCCTTTACAGAAAGTGACCTGATCCCTGCTTTAGAGACTAAAGTACTTCACTTCAGTGTGTGCGCCACATAAACATGTAAAGTATACGTGCTATGGGTCTTCCACACAGCATAGTTCTGTTACCATGGCAATGGCTGTGCAGAGATGAGCTTGAATTCCTGGCTTTAATTCTTGGCAGTCATGGGCATACTTAAAATGAGGGTGATGCCACCTACCCTAACAATGTCATGCAGTTTTAAAGGCCAAGATCACTCTCTCCACATGAAAATTTCCTACTCAAATATTATATTGTCTGTATAACAGACTAAAAGTCCTCAAGCTAATTTATCTAAAGCAGCTATCACAGCTCTATCATAAATAGAAAATAAGTTGGCATATGTACCTTACACTATACATTGATAAAAATATTTTTGTGTAGGGCCAGGGATTTAGCTCAGTGGTGCCACCACCTGCCTCACAAGTGCAAGGTCCTGAGTTCAATCCCCGTACCAAAAAAAATTTTTTTGTCTGATTAAGACAGTGGTTTATTAATGCTATCTTGCTCTCTTTTAGTGAGATGGACATTTTAAAAAAGGAATTTTTGGGAGACTTAAAGGACATGTGAGGCATGGCTAATAGGATGGGACTGGCATCTAAGTACAATATATGTATGAGGAAAAGTAGGTATGGACAAAGGATAAAAATAATGAGTATATAAACAAAAGTACAGGAGAAATTCTTGTGAAAGAGACAAAAGCTCACTGAGAATTTAATTCATTTCTCAGGACCACAAGTCATTCAGGACAAAATATCTCTGAGCAAAACCACAGCCCATCAGAATACGTCTTGTTACAACTGTACACTAACATGTGCCTACTCTGATGGCACAAGATCAGAGCCATGTCAACAGAGACTTACCAAAAGAGACATTGAATCGATCGCTTTAGTTCACAGAAAGTAACAAAGATCCATCTATTTCAAAGATTTTTGCTTTATCTTCCTTTCAAGATGCGAAATAGCCTACTGTAGAAAACAAAGCAATGTTACATTTACATAAAAATTTCTTGAACATCTAGTTGCTATTAACCCACCCAAAAATTTGGGAACTATTCCTTGACACAGGACTACAGACATTACTACAGTGTCTTAAAAGAGTACTTTCTTTTACTCAACACTATTTGGGATCTGACATCACTATTGAAAGGAACTGGCTGGGTATGGTGTGCAAACCTGTAATCCCAGCACCCAGGGGGCTGAGGCAGGAGGATTGCTGTGAGTTCGAGGCCAGCCTAGACTACACAGTGAATTCAAGGCCAGCCTGAGTTACAGTGAGACCCTGTCTCAAAAAAACAAAAACAAAAACCAGACTGGAAGGCTCTGAGTATTCAAAGCCTCAATCTACTTGCATGTATCATTCCCTGTCTTTTCTGGGCTAGTCTTTAAGAGAATCCTAAGTAAATTGGAAAACAATGTAGAAAACCAATTTTGACCTACTTTTGATATAAATGGTGCCACTTACATCAAAAATAAAACCCTAGAATTTCCAAAGCTTTCTGATTGGATTAATTGGTTGTTAAATTATTTGGATTCCCTGCTTACCAAATTTGGGGAAGAAACAGAATTAGTAATTAGTAACTAATAATTAGTGTTTTCTTGTTGCCAAATGTCTAGGAAAAAAAAGAAAGATAACTTTTATATGAAAATGACTTTCTTATAGTTTGAATTTTTTATCTGGTGAGTTTTTTAGTTCTCTATTTTTGAAATTTATTGTTATCATCAAAGATATATCAATTCTTGTGCAAATAGTTCTTGTCCATTTTCAGAAAGAGTATTAATATCAGTATATTATTTGTGAAGAGTCTGCAAGTCTGAGGATTTTAATATGACTAACTTCTTCAGATCAAGAACCAGCACCAAAGGCTTCCAGACCTTTATTAACAGAAAGGGTGCCAGTGTTCTAAATTTGCTGGTACCTATTATTCCCTTACTTCTAAATAAAACCATCTCTTTCATCTAAATTGTTTCATTATTTTGTCAAAATGAAGCCCCCAGATTTGATCAAAACATCTACAGATATCTGAGCAAGAAGAGAAAAGGATTTTGCAAACCAGAAAAACACAGAAAAGTATCCAATTAAGAATTTACCAGGGATGTTCCCTATGAATGAAAGGTAGAGAATAGGAGGAAGAACTTGAAAGGTTTGGCACTGGCGTTTGTGTGCTAAGAAGCAAGAAATCGATTCCTGCCTCACCTACCTTCCAGGTCATCCAGAACCTTTGCGGTCTGAGGTCCTCAACTAAAAGTGCTCCTGCCTACCAAGCACTGTTGGGTATGCAGCACTTAAGACTGCCAGGATGCACTGCAAGATACTCACCTGTAGTGGTGGCAGGGCGAAAAGCCAAGGCTCTTCTGGGGAGCAGGCTGGCAAATGTGTTGATAACCATGAGAGCATTCAGACCCTTCGTGGGAAATTCCCACTTCTAGTATTCTTTTCCAAGGTGACAGCCAAGGAAGGGGAGAACCCACACACATACTCGTTACGTGGTTATCTGTAACAGCCAAGTGTTCACGTGTGTAACGCACAGCTGCCATGGGTTAGCACTGCACTGGGCACCAGGACACCCACTGATAAGGAAGGCAGACAAGGCCCTGGGCGCTGGTAGTTTACCTTCCCAAGAACAGAAGGGCTAGTGTTGTCCGGAGTAACTGAATTTTTGGGTTATCATTGTTTTGGATCCTACTTTTTTCACTTAACATCAGCCAGTTGTTACTAATTATGTTGTTTTAAACCACAGAAGTCTTCAGAAAAATTCAGGAGACAATCTGCCACAATTGTTAGTACTGGAAGGGCTGTCTCAGTACAGTGGTTTAATTCCAAAAGTTTTGTATTAGATACTCCAGGATGTTAAGAGATAATTTTATAAAACAATTTGAGGTCAAGGCAGCAGCTGCTCCTGGCAAAGGAGTGGGGTAGGAGACTCGCTGTCTCTTTTCTCATGTATGCCTTTTGTTTAGGTATGAATATAAGCCTTTTCCTTAAAAAGTCGACTTTAAGCCGGGCGTGGTGGCACATGCCTGTAATCCCAGTACTCGGGAGACTGAGGCAGGAGGATCAATCACTGTGAGGTCGAGATCAGCCTGGGCTACATAGTGAGTTCCAGGTCAGTCTCAACTATATAGTGAGACCCTGTCTAAACAAACAAACAAACAAAAAAAGTCGACTTTAGAGACTTAACCTCAGTATTCTCAAGTACCTTAATACAGCCCTTTGCACGTGTATCTAAAAAACTAGCCACAAAACAGCTTTATAATAAATACACCTGTTCTTTGACAGAATGGCTCGTTTGAACCGCTCATCCGAAAAGTTAACACTTCCCTGAAAACCTAAGGGCACACTTATGCGCAGAACCCGAGTTATGAGTGTATTCGGGCGTCCAGCAGAGGTCAACGCTACAGGAATGCAAAGAACCCGATTTAATTCTCTTTGTTGAGCTTCAAAATTACTGTAATTTTCAAAGTGATCATGGGAACCCATAACATCCTGAAGATGACAGCGATGCTCTGCTGGGCAGTTTCCCAGACTCTGGCTTTCGACTCACAGTGACGGCGCCTCGGCTCCCCGACCTGACCCGACCCAACCCGACCCCCGAGGAGCAGTTCTGGGGACGCGGCGTCCACAGCGCTCGGGGCGGGAGGACGGCAACCTCAAGACCCCGGGAGGTTCGGAGGCGGGAGACGCAGACTGGGACTGACCGCGGGGGAACCAGGGTGGGAGGGAACCCGTGTGGGAGGGACCCCGGGT